GGGTACTGAGCCACTGTGTAGCCTATTTATTGGCTTCCTTTCCTTTCCTGTCTCAGTCCCTCACACCCATACGATACTCTCTAGGATCCATTCATCCTAGGATATTCTTTTGGATGGGCTGAAAGAAATACCATTTTTTGGAGTTTATAACCTAACATGAATGGTGGAGATCATTAGTAATGTGCACAAAATCATTAATGTATAAAATATTACTATTCTCTTAGACACTACATAGGATCTGGTGTTAAAGGAAGAAACTCAGGCCAGGGATATGAAATTATAATACCTGCATACTTTTTCCATATTGACTGATTTTTTTTTCTCCTTGTGGGGGTAGGAGAAGGTATTGTTATAATAGCATTAAATGAAATCGTTTGGTATTTTTACCTTCGAATGGCTTGATTATTTTTTCATATCATACTGCTGTCTTGAAAGTCAGAGTTCTGATGATCAGTTCTCAGGGAAGCATGTAAGAAAGAAATGCAATCTGTTCAGCAGAGGCATAATCCTTACTCACACTCTGAACAGACGAAAGCCCCATCAGTACAGAACATCATCACACTGATCGCTGTGATGACACACAGAAGCACCAGGTGTATCTGGAGTGACTGCTTTTTTGCATAAACTCACAGCTGACATGAAGGTTAAAATGCTGCTTGGTACACTAACATGTAGAAAACATAATTTGGGCAGCTGCAGCAGAGAACAACGGTGTATTTTTTGAAGTAACAGACTCATCAAAGTCCAGGCCTACTATTTAAAATTTCACAGTTGAATGTTTTCATTTTGTCCAGGTTTCAAAACCCATATTGTATGCGATTTACACGGTGCTATTTTGTTGTTTTCAAATCTATGCAAATATAGTGGTGGGTGTAATAAATTCTTAATACATAATTTTAAACCATTCTGTGCTCCTTTTAGCTAAGTGTGGTAAAAGATAAAATGTGCATATAAATGTGAGAAAGGTGCTGTTAAGTAAAGAAACATTTACTAAAGGAATAATTTTGCAATTGAGAGATAATAATTTTCAATATGTCTTCTTTCACTGAAAATAAAAGATTATATGACAGTACTGAATTGATGACAGTACTGAATGTGTTGAACTAATAAGTACTTTCTTTAGATAAAGAAACCCGGTTTTAGAGCCATAGTTTTGTTCTATTTTGTTTTCTTTCTCATTTTGTTTGTCTCTTGCCAAGGTACTTCTCAGAAGGATGTTAAGTATATGAGCTAAAACACAAGGGATTACAAAAGACACATAACAAACAAATTATTCTCAAATACAATTATCCAAACATTATTAGGACATATTTGTGATATAGCAATGTATACTTTTGAATAACAATAGTATAACACAATCTAGCAGTGGGTTTAACAACAACTACAGTTTCAGAATAAAGAAGAGCAATAATTCAAGATATCTGCAAAATGTGTAATAGGACTACAAAGTGTGTAACTAACTCTATTAGTGATGGAGTATGAGCACTAATACTACTGTAGTTTGTTGCTGACGTTCGTAATTAAAGGACATGCTGCAAAGAAAGACATAATTTTGTATATATTATTAATCAAATTCACAAACCTTCTAGAATCTGTTTGAAAGTAACAATATGCCATTGGTTAACAGTGCTCAAACAACCCAAAGGAGGGGCTCCCAGGTGGCTCAGTCAGTTAAGCATCTGACTTTGGCTCAGGTCATGATCTCACGGTCCTTAAGTTTGAGCCTTGCATCGGGCTCTGTGCTGATAGCTCAGAGTGTAGAACCTGCTTTGGATTCTGTGCTTCTTTCTCTGCTCCTTCCCTGCTTGTGCTTCATCACTTACTCTCTGTGTCTCTCTGTCTCTCTGTCTCTCTCTCTCTTTCTATCAAAAATAAACATTAAATTAAAAAAAAAAAAAAAGAATGCTGAGGATCTGCTAACCCAAACTTGTTTTCAAAAATGAATGATTGGAAGTTTCCACAAACTCAGTCTTCATTTTTTACTGTGGTAATAATACAAATGGAAATGCATATCAATAAAAATTAATAAAATAGTCTAATAGCACAGGAGTTGTAAAGAATATAGTAAGCTGGAGAACACAGGGTCTTTCTAAAAGAAATTGCATACACATGCCAAATAAAAAGTCTTAAAGTCCAAGTCAGGGTCACCAATTTGTGACCTCTGATAAAATGTGCAAAACCGAACCAAAAGAGTTTAAAATATTTTACATTTTTGAAAGCTATTTGCAAGTATTAGTATTATCTTCTGCCTTTACCACCCTATCCTATATTGCCCTAGGTAAGCAGATACTATTACCTGTTTCACAGGAGGAAAGTAGATGAAGAACAATCTCTGTCACAGGTCCAGTTAGAAAATCTAGACATAATTAATAGCCAGTATTCTACTTTCCTCTAGAGAATAAATAATTCCTGAGACCTTGTGTTGGTAGGACATTTTTACAAAATAAAAGGAAATAGAAGGGAAGGGAAGGGAAGGATAGAGATCACATGGTGTGTAGTGTAGAAGTAAACACCGAAAGTTAACTTGCAAATGAATGCATAAGATAACAAGTCCCTGTGTGCTGAGTTGTCTACTCTGTGCATTGTGCTCAATTTCTGACTGGTATTTATTTCTAGACTTCATAACGATTCTGCAAAGTAACCCTTGGCATCAATATTAGACACCCAGACTTGTATTAGACAAGAAAAGGCATTCAATTATGGAAATCTCAAAGTGCTCACTGTCACCACAGAGCCAGCCAAAACCTCATCATAACTGCTCTCTCTCATTCTCACCTCCATATTGGCCCAAACTGAATCTTTTAAAACCAATGCTAAGATAGAAATAATAATTTAATCAGAATGTTATTTTCTCAGTTTTGGCAATTAAACATGCCACAAAATCTTTTGGCCTCTGTATCCGTTGACTTTCAGAATACCAACTTGTATAGTACAGGTTAATTTAACTTACAGATTTTTAAAAATGAAATTATGAAATCCATACTTTATGGAAGAGAGAAGCAAAAATATGGCAAAGCTCAATTTCATATAAACCGTTTTATCATTAGTCAATTGAAAATAAAATTAAAATCGATTTATCTAAGAATCAATATTGAGCAAGTATTAAAATCTTTAATTCTCTTAATGCACTATTGGAAAACTTGATGCTACTTTTGCTCTTTTACCAAAACAAATGTATATTGACAACAAAAATGTATATTGATAACACAGTTAATGTATCATGTTGAACTGTCTTCACATTACAAAGGTTTACAATTTTTTTCAATTTTCAAATAGTTAAAATTAATGGCATATTACATTCTACTGTCATTTAAATTCAGAATTTAATGATATATATTTTATTTGTGTTTGAAACTTCAGAAATGAAAGTAGAAAATAAAGTAGGTTATTTACAAAGAAAACCCTGGGAAGTGTTAAATTTAAATGTTCATGTCACTGCAGATAAAAGTAACTTTTCTTTTATCTATACAGCTTCTAATTTTCCACAAAAGCTTATATTACTGTCATAATAAAAATTAAGCTTGTGTTAAAAAGTGTTATAATTTCTTGCACACCTTCTTATTCTGCCCATAGAAAAATCTTAAGTTTTTTATTATTTGTAAATGGGGAAAAGTCATGCAGGGCAATGGATCAGGGAGAAAGTAACTGAGATTTTGTGCAATGTGGTAAAGAAAGGCCTCTGTGACAAGGTGACATCTGAGTAGAGACGGAACAAGAAATAAAGCCATACAGGAAGAAGAGTGTTGGAAGAGGCATCTGGGTGAGAGGAGAACAGAAGCTGTCAAAGAGGACGCATGCTTTCAAATACCATTTATCAGCACGTACTATGTATGTATGTTATGTTTTTCACTGCCGTGAAAGTACCAAACAACCAAAAGACACGATTCTTACCCTTGAGGAATTTTAACTTGAGCCAGGTGAGAAGTGTGAGAAACAGAAAAGAACTAGAAAACAATTCAAACTAATTTCTCTTGTATAAAAAACAGTCCATATCAATTAAAAAACATCATTTATTCCACTTGATCTAAGGTATTAAAGAAAGATTTTACATTTAGATGATACTAAAGCTTGCAATATCTATTCTCCTATAATTAAAACCCATTGGTTGTTTGCATTTAAGTCTTTGTTAATGAGTCAGGATTAATAGTCTATGCTTTGTCCATAGTTTTAATTTTTAACACTGCCTTATATCTCCTTCCATGGTAATACAAAAACACATCCTCTAACTGTAAATTACTTTTGACAAATCCCTCAGCAAACTCTAAAACATCAAAGCAACAAAGATGCAGGAGATTTAACATTTACGAGATGTTCTTTGGATCTCTTCAGATACTGCCATCATCTAAAAATTTTTACATGTACTCTTTTAATAAACACTTGGCTGTTTTGCTTCATGATGCCATGACACTCCAGTTAATTTGACAGCTCGTCCTTTGTGTGCGAATAGTTTCAACCATGTGCCAAGTTTATTTCTGCTGCAATTGAAGAGCTATCCTTTTATGGACACATCTGTTAGATGGAATGTTTAGTTGATCAAAATGTATGATGGAGAGTGGAATAGGGTGATATTAAGGGGTATGATGTCAACCCCGTCCAGAAAAAGATCACATAAATATTAGACTAAAAAACAATTTTGAGTTGGGAGAAAGAAGAGAATAATTGTAGAATTACTAAACAATTGGAAACTGATGGAATCAAAAGGTTGATAAGCACCTTGTGGAAATAAGTGGGTTCAATCCAGTCCCCTTTCAAGTGGATAACCTACACTCTCAGGTTTCCCTGCAACAAGAGATAACTGAAGAGACTATTGACGAGTATGGGATAAGGTCTCTGAATAAAATGTGTACTGTTCAAATCTACGAGGCTTCACGTATTCATCCAACATGTACTTAAGGCATGAGGCTACGAAAGACAATTATAAGTAGGTTAGACATTATCTCTGCCCTCAAATGTCCTATAATTTAGAAAGGTTATAATCAAGGAAGAACATTATTATAAGAATGCTCACTTTAGCAGCACATACTCTAAAACTGGAATGATACAGAGAAGATTACCATGTTCCCTGAGCAGGGAAGACAGGCAAATTTGTGAAGTGTTCCTTATTTTCCAAAACTTGGCTCTCAAAAATTGTTATAGAAGTTAAATGTGAGAAGGGCTTTGATATATATACAAACATAAGATGATGTAAGATACATGTTATGCTGTTCACAAGAAAACCACTTTAATATAAAAACACAGGTTAAAGGTAAAACAATGGAAATAAATTTACCATCCAAACATTAGTTAGAAAGGAAAATTCAAGGATGGCTTTAATAAATAAGATAAGAACTGATAATTGTTGGTAAGGATGTGGAGAGACTGGAACATTCGTAGACTTCTGGGATGGAAAATGATGCAGCTACTTTGGAAAACAATGTAGCAGTTTCTCACAAAGTTAAATATGGACCCAGCAATTCTGTTCCTAAGTATATGCCAAAGACAAATGGAAATATACGTACATGAAATGCACAAGTGTATTATTCATGACGACCAGGAAGTGGAAAAGTCTAAATGTCCATCAAGAGATAAATGGATAAATCAATGTGGCATATCCAAATAGGTAGGCAGAATAAAGGCCTCCAATATGACCATGTCCTAATCCCTGGAACCTGTGAGTATGTTACCTTACATGGCAAAAGGGACTTTCCAAACTTGTGTAAGTTAAGGGCTTTGAGGTGGGGAGGTTACCCTGAAAGATCAAGGTGCTCAAAGCTCCTTAAAATTTGAGGAAGGAGAGAGAAGAGTCAGTCATAGTAACTCCATGTGAGAACTCCACCTGCTTTTGTTTGCTTTGACAATGGAGAGAGAGAGAGGGCCGTAAAGCAAGGACGGGGGGGACAGCTCTAACAGATGGAACAAAGAAGGAAATGAATTCTCCTCAGCTTCCAGACAAGAATGCAGCTCTGCCATCATCTTGATTTTAACAAAGTGAGACGTGTATTGAATTTCTAATTGATAGAACTGTTAGACAATACATTTATGTTGATTCAAGCCACTAAATTTGTGATAACTTGTTATATCAGCAATAGCAAACAAATACGCTACTCAATGGAATATCATCGAGCTATGAAAATAAATAGGCATTGACACATGTTACATCATGGATGAAGATTGAAAACACTATGCTAAATGCAACAAGCTAGTCACAAAGACCACATGTGATATGATTCTACTTATATGAAATGTCCAGAGTAAGCAAATTTATAAACACAGAAAGTAGACTAGAGGTTGCTTAAACGTTCTGTGTGTGGGTCCAGCAGGGATAGGGTTCATTGCTAATAAATACAGGGCTTCTTTGGGTAAACAGAGTGTTCTGCAATTAGATTATGGTATTGGTTTCACAACCCTGTGAATATACTAAAAAAACCACTTTAAAGGGAAGAGTTGTATGATGTCTAAATTGTATCTCAGTAATACTATTTTTAAACCAGAAAACAAAATGAACATTGAAGTGACTATATTAATATTAAACAAAGTAGACTTCAGAACAAAAATATTACCAGAGACAAAGAGGAACATTTTATAATAATAAATGGGGCACGTTACCAAGAAAACACAGCCATACTAACTGTTGCATCAACAACAGAGTTTCAAATTACATGAAGCAAAAATTGATTGGAAAATAAAACTAGACAAATCCAGAATTATGGTTGAAGACTTCAAGTCTCCTCTCTACCTGTGGGGTCTGTTTGCTGAAAAGACCTGAAAACAAAAAAAAAAAGCAAAAACAAAACCAAAACCAAAACACACACACACACACACACACACACACACACACACACACACACACCCCTAGCACTGAGATCTTGATTTCAAAATATCATAGCCAATAAAGGGAGCCAGGGATCCTTGAAAAAATAGCTGATTCTGGGGCTGGGACATGAAAAGTTCAAGACGAACTTAGAGTGCCAGACTGTAAGAAAGTATTCAAAGATTCTTGGAGACATATCAAAACAACACTGGAGTCAGCTTGAAAAGACTACCACTGGCCTAATGTCAGATGGTAAAGCAAAATAAATACAGTAATGAATTATAAGCCATAGAACAAAATAGGAATCCATGAGTTCATACTAATAAAAATAAATGTGAGAAAACGAAATGAATAGATAAGAAAAACTCTTCCTTAGAATAGAATTTCAGTAATAAAGAGAGACATAATAAATTAGAAAATCACTATTTGACAACCACTATAGTCATCGTTTTTCAGGCAAGGACCACAAATAGATGTAAAGTAACAGGCAAAAGATACTTCTAAGTATCTCTTTATGAAATATTAATTGTAAGCAGTGAATTAATAACTTCATAGTAAAGAAAAACGGTAGTTGCCACTGTAACCAAGTGATATCAAAGTTAATATCACCAGTAACTGGCCCAACCTGACAGCGTCTGCCTACTGGTAGGAAGTGCTGAGGAGACTTCCGTGGCATTCCTGCCAAGAATGCAGAGCCTGAATCTAATCCCAAGGAAATATCAAACCGTGGGATTTTTCAGAAAAATACTCAGCCTGTACTCCTCAAAAATGTCATTGATGCGAATGACAAAGGACTGAGAAAATGTTGCAGAAAAGGGACATGAAAAAGACAAGAAAACTAAATGCAATGTGTGATCTGGATTGGATCTTTGACCAGCAAAAAATAAATAAATAAAAGCATGCTTTGATATTAAGTGCATTAATGAGACAATAAAATTTGAATAAGGACTATTCAAGGACTATAGATTGAAATATTGTGTTAACATTTTCCTAGTATTAGTTTCTAGATTTTCATAACTATCGGTGATCATGTAAGAAAATGTCCCTGTTTTGGGAGCACCTGGGTGGCTCAGTCGGTTAAGTATCTGACTCTTGATTTCAGCTCAGGTCATGATTTCAAGGTCATGAGGATCTAGCCCCGCAAAAGGCTCCACATTGGACATGGAGCCTGCTTAAGATTCTCTTTCCCTCTCCCCTTGCTCCTCCCCTCTCACCTGTGTGCACACACTCTCTCCAAAAGAAAACATTCCTGTTTTTATGAAAGACATGCCGAAGTATATAGAAGTTATAAAAGCTGTGGATAGGGTGCTGAAGAAGTGTGAGAGGCACATCTAAACAAGCTTGGGACATGATGGAGAGCTTTTCCCACGAACTGCTAACTTAACGGCACTTTGCTTTTCTATTACTATGGAAACAAATTACCAGAAACTTGATGGTTCCAAACAGTCTAAATTTATTATCTTAAGTTTTGGAGATCAGAAGTTCAAAATGGGACTAAAATAAAGATATCAGGGCTGTGGTCCTTCTGGGGCCTTAGGGCAGAGTCCATGTCCTTGTATTTCCAATCCCTGGCAATCAGCTAGTTTTACTGGCACTTGGCTCTAGACTCCCATCTTCATAGTCAGCAATGGCGGGTTGACTCTTAATCTCGAGTTGAATCACGCTAACACTGACTCATCTTTCGTCTCCCACTTTCAATTTTAAGGATGCTGGTGATTACTTGGAGCCCATCTTGATAATCCAGGATACTTTCTGCATTTAAAATAAGATGATTACAACCTGAGTTCCATTTACAATCTCAATTTTCCATTAGCCATATAACTATTTGTAGGTTCCAGGGATTACAGTGTAGACATCTTTGTTGGCCATTATTCTACCTATCACAAAGAGCATTAGTTTTCCATCTGTAGCAGGTGTGATACTGCTACTTATTATAGAAAATAACTAATACTGGCTTAGCAGTTAAGGAAAGTATATGGTTTATTTAACTGTAACTGAAGGAGGAGCTAGGTTTAGGATAGGCTTGATATCTTCAAATGACTGGTTTCTGCCAGTCTCTTTACTCTGCTGTTTTCAGCACTGATGTCACCCCCCTCATGATCCCAACATGGTAGTTAATAGGTCTCATGGATACAAAATCATTCCTTCAGATCAGTAGTAGAAAGGGAGTTTTTGTCCCAGAAACTTGAGCATACACTCAAAAGTTCACTTTGATTGGTCAGAATTACATACCTTTCGTTACACCAAATTCTGTGACCAGAGGAATGGAAAGTGGTATTTGTCTTAGACTTGGTCCCAGGACACAGAGATAGACTCAGCTTCCCCAGAACAAACAGGAACCCAAATGGAAAATTCTTGGAAAGATAGTAAGGAGGAATGGACTGAGAGGGGACAACCAACAAATGCCCATTCTATCTTCACATACCAGTCTCATATTCAGAATTATAATCTTTTATTAATTGAACTATGAATAACCTATAATATTTTAGAAGCGCTGAATTTCACCTAATTGCATTGAGTAAAGCAATGAAAATTAAAAGAAATATGTGGACACTGGTGTCATATTGTTACTGAACTGCAATCAGGCACCATCGTCTGCTCTGCACTAACACCAGCTCAGTCTTCCATGTTAATGAGGAAAGAAGTCTCCAGTTGGTTCTTGAATGCAACAGAGAGACAGATGGACAATTCTGCTTAACATAAGCATATTTCTGCCTTATTTTTCACAGCAAATATTTTGTCTGAAGTGAATTTTTAACTTCAATTTTAAATCCTGAAATCCTTTGTTACTTTTTCTTTTACATTTTTACTTCTGTGATCACCACAGGCTTCATTCTCTTGTCACATTTGTTTACGGCAATGTTTCCACTTGCATGATTTTCAGCACAGATACTGGTTGACTTGTTTATCCAAGCCTTAATTTATTAAACTGTTTAAAAAATTATTGAAGTATGACTGACATACAATATTATATCAGTTTCAGGTGTTCAAAATTGTAATTTGACATTTGTATACACTGCAAAATTTTCCCCACAATAAGTCTAGCTACCATGTGTCAGCTTATAAAGTTAATACAATGGCACTGACTATGTTCCCCATGCTGTACATTACTTTCCCATGACTTATTTTGTAACTAGAAATTTGTACCTCTTAATCCCCTTTACCAATTTTGTCTCCTCTTCTTCTGGCAACCACCAATGTGTTCTCTGTGTCCATGACTCTGGGTTTCATTATGGTTTGTTTAGATTACACACATCGTATGTGTGATAAATATGATAAATGTCTTTCTCTGTCAGACTTATTTCACTTAGCATAAT